TCATTATTGAATTCTAAGAACTCTTAATACATTCTGGATACAAGTCCTTTATTAGACAAGTGGCTTCCAAGTTATTTTCTCCAAGCCAGTGGCTTGTCTTTTCAGTATTTTCTAAAGAACAAAAGTTTCTAATTTTGATAGTGTCCAAATTATCATTTTTTTCCTTTATGTTGTGGGTTTTGAGCCTTACAAAAAAATACCTTTACCTAGCCCAATGTCTCAAAGATTTCCTTTTATGTTCTCTTCTAGAAGTTTTAACTTTTACACCTAGGTTTATGACTCATTTCAAGTTAATTTTTACATATAGTACAAAGCATGAGTTGAAGTTCTTTTTATAAAAGGATATTGAAATGTTTCAGCATCATTTGAGAAGACTACTTTTCCTCTATTAAACTGCCTTGTCATCTGTCAAAAGTCAACTGATCATCTATCATGGATCTGACTCTCTCTTCTGCTTAGCTGTTTGCCTATCCTTTCATCAGTCCTACACTGTCTTGGTTATACACCGTCAGAGTAAGTCTCAAAAGTCTCTGATTTAGTCTTTGCTTTTCACAATTACTTCAGTTAGTCTAGGACCTTTTCTATATAGACATTAGAAAGTTTGCCAATTTCAACCAAAAAAAAAACTAGTGGGATTTTGATTGGTATTGAGTTAGGTCATTTGGAGGGATAATCAACATCTAAACAGTATTTTTTTAGTTTCCAACATATAAACTATAAGTATACTTTGTTAGATTCATCCCTAAGTGTTTCATGTTGAATTTTGTCAAGTTCCTTTTCTGCATCTATTGAGATCTTGAGTGTGTTGATATAGTGAATTAAATTGATTGAGCAGAAAATGTTCAACCATTTGGTCATGAGGTATTATCTTACAGAATTTTATGTCTACATTCATTATATGGTCTGTAATTTATGTCTACATTCATTGGTCTGTAATTTTCGTATAATGGCTTTGTTTGGTCTTGGTATCAGAGTAATGCTAATCTCATAAAAATGAAAGGGGACGTAAACCCTATTTTCTGGACAGTTTATGTACAACTGGTACACTGATATTACTTCTTCCTTTAATGTTTCATATAATGTGCACATGAAACCATCCACACTTGGTGTTTTCTTTGTGGAAGAATTAATGAAAAATGCAATTTCTATAATGATATAATATTTAAGTTACTTATTTATTCTTGAGTGAAATTTGGTAGTTTGTCCAATTTTATCCAAGTTAATTTAGATCCAAGAATTTGTCCATTTCACCCAAGTTAATTTGGTTAGCATAAAGTCATCCATAATACAGAAATTCGCCACCCATGGGGATTAGTAGATTCTGGATAAATGTAGTTTCTGGCTGCTTGGAAATTACTACTAAAAATAGGCCTAAATAATTCTCTACACCATACCATAAACTCTGTAATCCCTTGAAATTAATATTGAAATATACTAATTAAAAGCAAATTAAGAAGAACTTCACTTACTATAGCACAGTTTTACTGTATTATAAAATAGCTTTGTAAATGCAGTATATAATTTTAGTTAAACGGCAGTCAACACACTATATTGGTAGTTACATTCTCAGTCACCTGGCACACTTTTCCGGTGCTCACTTTCCTTTTCATTAATACTTTTAATATAAAGCACTTTCACAGTCTGTGAATGATATTTATATCTCAAACCACAAATACATATTCTTATCAATTTAATACACTTGGACTTTCATTTTTCTCCTGTGTAACTATTTATTGTTGATCTCTACAATGAAATTATTTACTAGATAGTTTCTAAAAGTGATTTTTAAAAGGCTTGTCTACAACAGCATACAGCACTTAGACTGAAAGCTGGCTATATCTCCAGGAATACATTTTTAATCTTGTTACATTTCTTTGCCTTAAAAAAACCCAAGGCCCAAGGCATTCTGTCATGTGGCTTTTATGTAAACTTATATCCACACCTTATATTATTTGGGGCTAATGTTGGACAGAGTGAGACCCTGCCCTGTAAGAAGAAAAAAGAATGGAAATTACTTTGGGTACACTGTGAAGTTTATCGAACCAATTGAACAGCCATTGGCTCTATGGTTAACTTAAAGAAAAAGACTATTTAAGCATAGGTCCACCTGACATCCAAAAGGTCAAGAATTCCTAACAAATTTCAGTACATTTTCTATAAGGTATGCTGGCAAAGTAACTTTGAAATATGCATGTCTAAAATTTTAGTCAAAACTCGTATTTTGGCCAAAAAAAAAAAAAAAACAAAAAAACAGACAGACTGAATGCTGACAGTCACATGATTCACCATTAATGTTTCAAGAAGTAATTCTTAGTATACTAAGTCTAGTATAAGAAAGAATAAAACTTAAAGGATAATTTACTTTTAAGATACTACAGCTTCATCCAAAGTCACTGTAAATATTCCTCTCACTGGACATCTGGCCCTCACAACACATCCCCCAACAAAATCAGTCACTCCTTCCTCTGACAGTGATATTCTAATAAATCCTCCATGAACTGTATAATAAATCAGACGAGTAGGAACAAAAGAAATGACACATCAGGAAAATGTGACACTTGAACAGTAAGGAAGGTGACCTAAAACTTATATAAAAAGATACAGAAAGCACACCTCCTGGATGTGGGACCCAACTACAACAGGGACCTTATCTAACAAATGCAAACACTACAATCTAATTGTTTGTACCTTCATATTAATCTGAAGTTTAAAAATAAATAAATACTGCTTATTACACCCAACAGAACTCTGGGGTCATTGTGATGGGGGGCACAAAACTTATAGCTTCCCTATGAACAAATTCCCTGCACGTGAGGAAGAAAAAAATTATCAAATGTATGTGGTGGGTGCCTGGCTGATCACTGTATAAGTCTTTCGACTGTACTGTATGTTTGAAAAATTGCCTAATAAAATATTGGAAAATTAAAAAAAGAAAAGAAATGTAAGTAAGTAAAATATAGGTAATGCAGATTATCCTTTGAGAATTTACCCTTACTGGATTGTTATCCAGTTCCTTTTAAAGTCTTGCTTAAAGCTGTAGGTATTTCAGTGAAAGATATTTCCGGTTATGTTATATATACATCTCTTTAGGTTCCTTTAATTCTATTTCCTATGCTGAAGTTTTTATTAAACAACCTATAATATATTTTTTAAAAAGATACAGAAGAATTTGAAGAGTTATAGTATCAAAAACCTAAGAAACTCCTACTCTTTTGAGAGCAAGTTGGCTACAGTATTCTGGAATTCTAAAAATTCCCCCAATCTCTTCCCAACGTATCTTAGTCTAATCATGGCTTAGATTATATATAACATATAAATTATATGTTAAGATTATGACAACAGGATGTCAGCGATCAACTTACAGCTATAGAACTAACTTCTATGCTTGTCCTGAGACCTTCTTCATGGCTACTCAGACCTATTATCCTAACAGGTTCCTAAAACACATTGTCTGGCTGTGTGTGTTTTGGGGAGAGAGAAAGTGTACATAAGAATAGTAAAAAAAGAAGAAAAGAAAAAAAGCCAGCTAGAAAAAGTGCAAGTCAATCTCCCAAGCACCTCATACCTTCATCAATCTCCAGATGAAGTGTTATATTTAACTGAGAAAAACACTGTCCTGGTTTCCCATTCTTTTATACAAAGTACCCCCATTAATTTGACCTTTTCAATCCCCTCAAAACATAAACTATACAAACATACACCAGTAGTTTTACAGCTACAAAATTTTACAAAGAGGTGGCCAAAATACAGAGAATATTTTATAAAATTCTGTAATAAATATTTTGTAAATAAAGTTGCATTTAACTACATTTTCCCCTTTCCCCCATGTGTGGTGACTTTAGGAGCAACTTTTGGAGTACAGTGCATACACAGTTCCTGCTGCCTGAAATTCACTGAAACCTATGGTAAACCTCAACTTCCAGGCCTCTGCTTCAATCTGTCCCTATGAACAAGAGGAACAAGAGTCCTTCCCTCAGTGTAGTCTGCCCCCATCATCCTGGTTTTATTATTTTGCAGCACTAATGACTATGTAAGTTGCATTATTTTCCTATCTAACTGTGTACTGCCAGTCTTTCCAACTAAAGTACAAACTCCATGACAGCAGGAATTTCACCTAACTTTTTGCAGTACTTCAAGCCAAGAGCAGTGCAGGACACCGAGACGGTAGTCAATAAATACTTCTTGAATAGATATTACGTCACCAAAGATAATGACCTTTGCCCAGTCCTGTAGCTAAGTATACTGAAAGACTTCCCTCTGCCTCCCACATTTTTTCATTCCCTAAAACAGCAGGTCTCAACCTGTGGGTTGCGACCCACAGAAACTTCATTAAAGGGTCGTGGCATTAGGAAGGTTGAGAACCACTGCCCTAGAAGCTTTTTGGACAACAGAATATATCTACAAAAGTATAGCTTTTCACCTTGAGGGTACCACTGCAATGAATGAAAACGTGTATCAGTTTGGGATATGTCCTTTCTGAAACCAGAAAAACAGTAAATACTACAAGTATTCTTTTTGTGACAGAGATTTTTTTATATTTTTAATCCAGCTCAGCTCAGATTTTATCTAAATTCTGTTTCATAGAGATACAGAATTTTGGAGACGCCATCCGAAAAATACCAGAGAAGAGCTTATTGTCTCTATATGCGCTGATTATAGAACAAAATGGATTTGAATTATAAAACAAAATAATGATATAGCAGGAAAAGTTCACTTCGGTGATGCTGGGAGAATTAGATATTTACATGCAGAAGAATGAAATTAGACCCTTATCTCACACCAAACACAAAAATCAACTCAAAATAGATTCAAGACACATAAGGTCTAAACCATAAAACTACTAGAGAAAAAATAGGGAAAAAGATGCATGACACTAATTGGACAATGACTGTTTTGGAAAGGACCCCAAAAGCAAGGGCAACAAAAGCAAAAATAGATAAATGGAATTACATCAAGCTAAGACACTTCTGTACAGCCAAGGAACAAAGTGAAGACACAACCTATACAATTGGAGAAAATGTTTACAAACATATATCTAATAAGAGGCTAATACCTAAAATATAGAAGATGTTAACTCAATAGCAGGAAAAACAGCCTGAATAGACATTTCTCAAAGAAAACATACACAAGGTCAGCAGGTATATGAAAATGATCAGCACTAATCATCAAGGACATGCAAGTTAAAATCACAATGAGGTATTAACCTATGAGAACAGCTATAATCAAAAAGATGAAAATTAACAAAACCTAGTGAAGACATGGAGAAAAGAGAACAGCCATTATGGACCACACAATGGAGGTTCTTCAAAACATTACACATAGACCTTGTGACCCAGCAATCCTACATCTGGGTATATATATCCAAAGGAAATGAAATCATTATTTTGAAGATAAATCTACACTTACATTCATGTTCACTGCAGCATTTATTCACAGTAGCCAAGACAGGGAATCAGAGTATCCATCAATAGATAAATGGGTAAAGAAAGTATAGTATCTATACAAAACAGAATACCACTTAGCCTTAAAAAAAAAAAAGGAAATCCTGTCATTTGCAACATGGAGGAACTCAGAGAGAACACTATGCTCAGTAAAGCTAGCCAATCACAGATAGACAGATGTGATGTGACCTCACTGACACATGGAATCTGATAAAGTCAAGCTAATTTATAGAAGCAGACAGTACAGTAATTATCAGGGAATGGGAGAAAAGTTAGGGGATGAATTGGGAAGACAGTGGTCAAAGAATACAAAATTTCAGTTAAAAAGGAAGAATACGCTCAAGACAACTATTTACAGCATGGTGACTCAGTTTATAACTATGTATTATATATTTGAAAATTGCAAACAAAGTGTAAGACTTTTAAGTGATCTCAGCACAAATAAGTATGTAATGTAGTACATGTTAATTAGCTCCATTTAGCCACTCCTCAGTAATACATATTTCAAAACATTGTTGTACACTGTATTTGCCAATTAAAAATTAAAATAAATATGCCAAACTGAAAATGTACAAAAAAATTTAAAGTATTCAATCTAATAAAAGGCATGAACAAAGGAAAAAAAGAAATAACAAATGAGACAAATAGAAAATAATTACCAAAGTGACAGACTTAAACATAAAATACTGCTAAAAAACATTTATATTAAATGAAAATGAGTAAATATACCCATTAAAAGGCAAAAACTGACAGTGTGGATAAAAAAGCAAAGGCAATCTATACGCTCTCTACAAGAAACACACTTTAAACATAAAGACAGAGATGGGTTAAAAGCATGGGAAAAGACACACCATGCAAGCAAGCATCAGTTGTGGCAAAGCCTGTGGACCTATTATTAATATCAAATAATCGACACTTTAGGCAAAATAATGAATATTAATAAAGCTAAAGAGGGACATTTCATAATGAAAAGATGAATTTAGCAAGAAAACATAATAATTTGAAATGTGTATGTACTCCTAACAAAGCTCCACAACACATGCAGCAACAACCAACAAATCAGAAAGAAGGCTTCTCCACAGTAAGGGTGGGGATTTCAACATTCACTCTCAGTACTGACAGAACAAGCAGACAGAAAATCAGTAAGGATAGAAAAGACTTTTTAACAGCATTAACTAACACAATTTAAGTGACATTTATGGACACTCAATCCAACAACAAGAGACTATATTCTTTTTAAGTGCCCATGGACTGTTAAGACAAGCTTCAATACATTTTTAAAAACTGAAATTAGACCACAGGATGTCCTCTGACCACACATAATTAAACTGGAAGTCTGTAATATCCTGACAGATTTAGAAATGAAATAACCAATTTTTATTTTTTTAAGCCCTAAGCTTGCTACTCTAGAAATAATCAACTTGCAAATAATAACCCATACAGCCTTTCTCAAAAAGGATTCCTTATCACAAAATAATGACTACTTTTTTGATTCTCTCAAAAATGGCATACAAATGGTACCAACATGCAAAGCACAGGAGAGAACAGAATGTGTAATCACCTCAGGCAATTCTTCCATGAAAACCCAGGTAAGAAAAGCAAAAGGAGGCCAGCACGGTGGCTCAAGCCTGTAACAGCACTCTGGGAGGCTGAAGCCAATAGATTGCCTGAGCTCACAGGTTCAAGACCAGCCTGAGCAAGAGTGAGACCCTGTCTCTAAAAATAGCTGGGCATTGTGGCAGGCACCTGTAGTCCCAGCTACCTGGGAGGCAACAAAGTGAGACTCTTGAGAAAAAAAAAAAAAAAGAAAGAAAGAAAGAAAAGCAGAAGTAGTCAAAGGAGAAACCATAGGTAAATTATAAAACATTTAAAACTAAATGCTAATGAAAACATAACACATCAAAAATGTGTGGTATACAGCTAGAGTAGTACATAGAGGGACACTGACAGCTTTTAATCTTAAGGGTAGAAAAGCAGAGTTTCAAATAACCTAAGCTTCCACATAAAGAAGCTAGGAAAAGAGGAATAAATTAAATCCAACATAAGAGTGGAAAGAGTAAGAGCAGAAATCAATGCAACAGAAAATGAACAAAATAGAAAAAAATCAGTAATATAAAATGATAATCACCTGAAAATATATCAAAAAAAAAGGAGAAAATGCAAATTGCCAGTCTCAGGAATGAAAGAGACAGCACTATTACAGATCCTACCATCATTTAAATAGTACAGGGCTATTATGAACAACTTTATGCCAATTCCTTCAACAACTTAGAATTAGACAAAATCCTTATAATGCACAAATTATCAAAACAGCAGAGAAAAATCTAAATCATATTATATCTACTAAAGAAATTCAATTTTTAATTAAAAA